CACACACACACACACACACACACACACACACACACACACACACACACACACACCCACACGCACACACATACACATACACAAACATGCACGCGCGCGCGCAAGCACGCACACACGCAGTGCTCACATACACACAAACACGCACGCGCGTACGCACGCAGGCACGCACACACGCAGTGCTCACATACACACAAACACGCACGCGCGTACGCACGCAGGCACGCACACACGCAGTGCTCACATACACACAAACACGCACGCGCGCGCGCGCAAGCACGCACACACGCACGTGCTCACATACACACAAACACGCACGCGCGTACGCACGCACGCACAGACGCTTCATTCTTCTCCACCCAGTCCTCCTCCTGCTCTTCCTTGTCCTGTGGCATCGCTTTAAATAGTCTCCCGTGCGCAATAAGCTTGCTTTTACACGCGGTAATTAAGAGCACTGCTGTGCTGATTATCGTGACCGTAATTCTAGAATACAGATTACCTGATGTCAGCTGATGAACGCATTTCATTGCTCTCCTGATCACCGATTGTAAATCGCAGTTGTAAAGCATGGTCGTGTTCTATGGCAGCACGTCAGTAATTACGATCCCATTTTCGCGATTTCTGGTGACATAGTGCCTGATTATTTCCCATCAATGCAGGTACAGGTTTACCTGGGAAAAACGAACAATGTGGCTGCCGCTAATGCATTCAGATCGACGACGAAACGAGAGCTGGTTGACACTAGGCAAGCACAATCGTGTCCTGCGCCATGTAAGAATATAAGATTGTAATTCTAGCTAACAATGTTTGCTAATTTGTTGTTGTTGTCGTGCAGGTTCTGTAAATTTTGCGCATTTCAGGTTCTACATGCATTACCTTTGTTTTTGCAGGGCAGTATACTGTATGTGACTCGATGGTGACAGGAAATGTCCGGGTTCCCTTCTCCAGTTTTAAATCTAAAACTCAGAGATTCACGGAAAAGCCATCCGAAGTATGTGTGTAGACATATATACTGTCATATTTATTCACAAATCTGAGAGGCACTACGTTTTTTACAAAGAACTAGACACGGTGTACAGTTCTTTTACATAAATATTACGTTTATATTTTTATTTTTATTGCTTTCATAATTTTTATTTATTAATTATTATTATTGATGTTACTATTATTTATTTTATATTTATTTTTACGTTTATTATATATTTGCTAAAATATAGCGTTAAACTTTATTGAAGTATTAAATTTGATATTGTCCTTTCCAGCCAAGGGCTACAGACCGAGGGTGTTTCTTATTTATTAATTTAAAAGCAAAAGGATTGTAATATCTTATAAACGACATATAGTTTCAGTTATAATATGAATAATGTGCCCTAAAATGAATATCGTTTCGGTTAAATAGCCATTCTAGGTATAAATATATTGCACTTTTGTGATTAGCCCTCGGTCTGTAACCCTGCCAAAAGATAAGATTAGAAAACCCTCGCGTCTGTAGCTTGGCTGGAAGTGGTTTTGCGCAATTATCAGATCGGCGCTGTTGAGTGCCCCACGTCGTTGCCCGTAATCAACTGGTAGTTTCGTTTACTTACTCTATTAATCTTAAAACATTTTTAATAATAGTTTCTATGGTGTAGTTGAACCATGACAACTTTTTATGTAGCGTTAATATATAACCATAAATTAGCTGAAAATTAAAACCCCCCAGACACCTAGAGTAAACTCTTCCCTTTTAAGGTATGTACGATTAACCAAAGTATTATGCTACATTTGTCATGATATATTATCATGGAATGAATTCAGCCATAATCTTCCAATGTCAATTTTCATTT